GTATAGTAACTTTGAAATAACTCTTTTTTGAACTTATTTTTTTAGTTTTACGTATGTAAATAGGAAGTTAAATATCAAGTTAACTCTAATAGTTTTTATTTATTTATTTTTACTTCATTTCGGCTTTGTAGATTCTTTAAATGAACAAGGAAAAATGAAAATCTAAATGCATAAATTTTGATGAATTCCATTAAATTGTTAATCAAGTTAAATATCACAAAAAATTAAATAATGTAACCCCACACTTGTATTCTTGAAGCTTTTTCTTTCTAATGGGGCTGTGGATTGGTCATTATTATTGCAGACCTTGTACATTCCGACGGAGCTGGTATCACTTTTTAGTGTGCCCCCATATAAGCGGATATCAATTGCTGCAATGTAATTTTGACGCCCGTTTTCCTCCCCAGAGGCACCTGAACTCTGACAATGGGAAATTGTTCTTGAAATTTAATTTTTCCAAAAGAACCCAAGCCAAACATGTACTCTAGGGATCTTTAACACGTCGTATAATAATACGACATGGATGCTGTCTATATTTTACATCATGAAAATCCAGATCGAACCCGCAAACTTGTGCGTACAAGACCAGTGCCAAACCAACTGCGCCACCCAGCTAAACTATTCTAGAAACAGATTGTTGCATTTATTAGTACATATGTAAAGTATAAAGCTGTTTGAATTGTTATCGGGGAAAAATTCCCATGATAAAAATATAGCCTTCGGAAATGTTCGATGTTAATAAAAACATGATACAAAAGTATATTTAAAGTTATAAGAACATATTTAAAAAAAACCTCATATTTTTTATGAATTTTTTTTTCCATTTTATAATCAACTTCTTTTTTAAATTGGAAAGTTGGGTTTAAAAAATGATTCCATGAGAATTTACCTTATGTACATTAAGATTTAATTGTTCTAAATACATTTCTACCTGCAGGCACAGAAGAAAAAATACTTTTCTTACACAACCACTCCAACAATTCCCTTTAGAAAATAAATTCCTTCCAATTTCGGAAAAAACCGAAATCTTACGTCTCACAAGCTCTCTTAATTCTTTGGTGCCGGAAACGATCCCTAAGTTGAAGTATCGGATGTCGTTTCCCGTTTCACGCCACTTTTCCCGAAAATGAATCCTGCCAAATTCTTTTTCTTTTGATCGCAGACCTAGCTTTGAAATGGGCTGCATGTCTTTTGGATAGATAGCCATTAGTCGTTAATATCCAGATTTTTTTTTTGCTCCTTTTATTTTGAAAATCGCCAATGCGGGCTTTTTTGTTTGGGAGAAATCGTCCGGGGGTGGACGGAGGGGGTCTTTCTTAGGGGTTGGGAAGTGTTGATGCGGCGTCCACAGATGAACGTGATTTGGGGATCATCAGTCCAACTTTTTTTATTTTTTTATTTCACTTTTAAAGATCAGAGCGGGGTGCCTTTTTTCTTATTCTTTTCTTTCGGTGTCTTTTCTTTTTTTCAGCCACACTTTTTCCCCTGGCAGATGAGGAGTTTTAAATTGGCCATTTGGAATATCTTAGGGAACTTTTCAAGAAACTTTAGCGAGTAGTCAATCATGGTTACCTTACAATTCAAATGATCCACCTCTTCTTTGACAGTCATGGCGCCAATGATTAAGTAAGCTAAAGAACTCAACTGGTTTAGAGGAATGTGTGTGCTCAGAAATACGCTGTTAGATCCTCAAGTAGTTTCCCTTTTTATTGGGTCTTTATCTTGCGACATAGCCATCGTTCGATAGCCATGTCGTGGGGTTTCCGCGTAAGTTAGAGGTGTGGGATTCTCTCGGAATGATGAGACATTCTATAATTCTTAATATGACTTTTATTAAGAATTTAACTTAAATTACTTAGATATCGAACATACTTATATTAAGTGAGAATAAACCACTACACGTAGTCTTAACTAACTCGGATCGCGCAATTAGATCACTTATCAATATAAATATATTATATCTGCCTAATATCGTCTCAATAATATACTAGCGTTCAGAATATAATCTTCCTACCTTGGTTGAATACTCAACGGTTCAATCACTTTCAGGTAGGCTGTTGGGCTCGCGTGCAATAGTATGCACCTTGTAGTAATGGCTTGATATCCGTGATGCTTTGGTAGACTGTCAAATTACACTTCTACCTTTTCCAAACAGAGCTTTCTCTAAATTGCCATCTTTTCTCACTAAACTTTCTATCCTTTTAAAGGTTATCTTATTTGCATCTATGCTTCGTTTCACTTCCTGGATTTGGGTTGGAAAAGTTTTGCCATTAATCGTGGCCGTCAAAGAACATAGAGGTTATGTTAGAAGAACGCGAGAGATGTCACAATATTCTAATCGTTTGTATCCGAAATTCAGTCGACTGAGTGACGTAGTTTGTCACTGGCCTAGTAGCCTAAGGTTGCGGGTTCGACCCCGGCCCAAATTGGTGGATTTCCATGATGCTGAAAATCGACTGCGTTCATGTCGTATGGTTATGCAGCATGTTAAATACCCCAAAAGAGTCTGACTTAGGTTCTCTCGGCAAAATTAAATTCCTAGTATCATTTGGTATCATTAGAGCTCAGGTGCTTCCCTCTAGGGGGGGAGCTGGGCGTCAAAATTACATTGCGGCAATTTGTATTCCACATATAGTACAGCACTAAAAAGTAACACCAGCTCTTGGAGAATGTACTAGATCTGCAATAGTAAATACTAATCCACACGCAGACCCATTGGGGGAAAAAATTCAACATTTGAATTGGCGAAACATCTAAAAAAATCTGATTTTTTGTTGATTTGTTTCGCAAAGGATTAACTTTTTAGAATTACAGTAATCTTTTTAATTTCATTTCAAATTATTTAGAGATGTTTGTAGCATATCTTATTTTGAAACTAGTTTACGCATCTTTCCATACAACATTAATTATTTTATTTAAAAAAATCAAATAAAGAATCCTACCTTGGCAATCATTCTTGTTCGTATAACTCCTGGAGTTCTTGTTGTTCCAGAACTAGAGTTAAGTACTTATTAAAGAAATAGTTTAATAATTTCAATATATAGGGAATATATTTTTCATTTGATATATCATATTATATTCTAATTTATATTGATAAAGGTAAAGACGATGGTTAATAAATATTTTGAAAATTAACGTTCAATTCTTCATCTTGAGTTTCATTATATTTTTTAAACGAAAAAAAATACATCGAAATCATAAATTAACATTCATTCTTCAATCGTTGTTTCATTTTGTAGCTGATGTAAGTATTATTCCTGTAATTAGTTTTAATCTTCAGAAGCTTTTTCTTTAGATTAGGCTTTTCAACCCATGACCCCCTGAAGGCATTTTAGTGAATTTGAATTTGAAGCAATTTAAAAAAAAAAGAAATACTTTGTTTTTTTGTCGTAAAAAATACCTTTTTTTCTGCCATTCTTGATATTTAAAACATTTAACTGATGTGTTTGATTTCCATTTAAAATAAAATGTTCTAAGACTGCCGAATCTTTTAAAAATTTCACACTGTTTTAAATAATTTTAAATATAAAAAAATCTGACTATGCTTTAAATCTCGGAATTTACCGGAAAAAAAGTATGGTTAACAGGTTTTAAAAATATTTTCATTCACGCGAGTTTTATTTAACTTTGAAACCAATATTTATATACAAATCTGTAAACATATCATCTCTTCCCTTATAAAACAAACGTCTCTTTTTCAATTCTTACTATTAGCTCTCTCTATATATATATATATATTTATCTTGTTCAAATTTTCAATCGTTAATAAAATACTTTCTATTCATCCAATCAAGTTCAAATAATTTTTTTTTAAATTTGCAGTGGATGAAACTAGATCTTAATACAGTTTTTTCAAATAATAATTCATTATCTAAATTAAATTAAATTGCTGGTTTTCGACGCCAACTTAGATTCGTCTCCATTGTTGTAACAATGTAAAAGTTAAAACCATGACAAAAGTTGGCGTAGAAAACCCGTTTTTTTCAGCCAAACTAGCCAAACCGAGTGTGCACTATTACAACAATGCAGACTCTTTTTTTCAATTCCTACTATTTGTGCACTCTCTCTCCCTATATATATAGAGAGAGATATAATCTTGTTTAAATTTTCAATCGTTAATAAAATACTTTCTGTTCATCCATTCAAAAAGTAGGAATTTACTTAATTTTTTTTATAAATATATATTACTTGTTTTATATAAATTTCCTGGCTACAATACATTTTTGACAGTCGTGCGACCCGCGGGTCACTGTGAATTTATTGATGTGTCCTGTGGATCATTTTCAATTGATTAACTTGGACTTCGAGCGTGAAAGTTTGAAGACCACTACTTTAGATTATTCCATATTAATGATCCGATGTGTTTATCTACTCTTATATTGGCATTTTTAGCTTCATCATTAGCTCCTCTTCATTCTTATTAACTCTCTCTTCTCACCCACCGTCCAATCAGTCTTATCACTATTGTGCACTGTCATTTAGACAGTATAGGTTCTTTTCTTCTTAAATTTAATATTAAAAGTACTGTTAAATGTGCCTGATGTTTTTTCGTGTTACCAATAGTAGGTGTCCTCATCACAATAAATGTTAAAAAGTACTAAACTACCTGTTTTTCTTTAGTAAAAATTATTTTGAGCTTTTTCTTTATGGTAAAAAATCAAAAATACCCCTAAGGTTCACTCTTCTCGTGGCAGTACTTAACATAAAAATTATTTCCTTTTTCCCTTTATTTATATACCATAGAACATTTTTTCACACACAATTTCTACAGTTAGTTTACTCTCGCTATATATAAATTTTCATTCATTAATAAAATACTTTCTATGCATCCATTCAAGTTTATAAAAAACTATATTTAAACTTGTAGTGGATGACACAATATTAATACCGTTTTTTCAAATGTTAATTAATTAATTAGTTAGTTGAATTAAAAATGAATAAATAGTAACAAACAAAAATAATTGTCCAACAGCATATATAGAAAGGAAACTTATTCGCTGTCTCCCTGTAGCGCAATGGATAGCGTTTGGACTTTTAATCCAAAGGTCGAGGGTTCGATTCCCACCGAGATTGGCCTAATTTCTGAGAATGTGGTTTCTTTTTTACTATACTATTTTATTAGAATAATTGAATTTAATTAATGAATAAATAGTAACAAGCAAAAAAAAAAAAGAAGTTCAACACCCTACATAGAAAGAAAAATGGAAAATTGCGAGGAAAATCGCTTTCTATTATCTCACTTAATATTGTAATTCTGTCATACGTATATACATATATATATTATTTTTAACTATTTAATAAAAAGTGACTAAAATAAAAATTTTCTTTGGTGACCTAAGTGAGAATTGACTTAATTTTTTTTTTATTCTTATTACATGTTCCAAATAAGTAGGTTTTAAAATTCTGAAAAAAAAAATGTTTCAATCTACCTTAATGTACAATTCAAATGTTAACTGTCGTTTTGCGATTGAATAAAACAAAATTGACAACTATCCCGTTTGGTTGACGAGTTCTTGCTATTATCAGCCTGGATTGCTTTGTTCGTTAAGGAGGGGAGAAAATACAACTCCAAACGAGGATATAATATTTCAAGGGGGTGTATAACACATCCTACATAACACCACGCATGCAGTACAAGAGGGATTACAGTGTCCAATTCGAAAGTAGGGAACAGTGGAAACGGAGCACACAGAGAATGGATTTGAAATGCTGACCTACATTTTTTTCCACATCCCCAGATGTTCAACGGCCACCAGGAGACCCCCTAACACGGGGTCGTTGCACTTCTTTCGAACATCCTTGACTTTGAACGGGGATCTTTCTCCACCTCCTCCTCCTCGCAGAAGAACACGGAATTTGTCGCCGGCAGACTGATCTTGACACGTTAACCAGCCGGATTAGAGATCTTGACACCACACTTCTGATGGGTTGGCTGATACAGTCATGCTCTGTTACCTCACAGGAGAGGGGAAGAAAAAATACTTGCGGAAATGTTGTACATTGAACTAGGATTTCGCGTCTACTTGGGACACAAGGGTGCTTGATATGGGTTTCCAGGAAGTAAATCATTTATATGATGTTTTAAGTAAAAATAAGATTTGGAAATGTTGATATATGTGAGTCAATTAGGGGAGATCTAGTAGGGCAAATTATTTTAAAAACCCTATCCAACCTCCTAATTATTTATATTTATAATCCGTTAAAATGAATTGATTTAAAAAGAATTGTGGGGGATATAATCAGATTAAAAAATATTTAAAGCAAACTATTGCAAATTTTTTTTTTAAAAAAAAAGTGTGTTAAAGGACGTTACAAAAAGTGTGTGACTGTCAAGTTTGTATTTCACCGAAAGTTCTGAAATCTAATTCCCTAAATTCCTTTGTTTTATGAAAAATAAATCCTCGTATCCTTAATTCTAATATACTGATCTAATAAGATAATTTTTTACAATCGCACACGCACTGGTATTATAACTCAACAGCACACTTTAATGACTTTAAGACCCAGGAGATAGAATAGTACACAAATACTTCACTTTCATTATTTATAAAATATTTTCTAACGTAAGTGCAAAATAAATAAATTTATTATAATGGGTTATATTGTTATGTATAGGGCTTTTGCTCATTTTTTTCCCAATGGGGCTATGGATTGGTATTTACCACGCAGACCTAGTACATTCCCCGAAATATGATATCACTTTTTAGTTAAGCAAAATATAGGTGGCAATCACTTGCCACAATGTAATTTTGTTACCCAGTGATGGGTAATTTGAGCTGTGATTATGCGAAATTGTTCTAGGAATTTAACTTTGTCGTGAGCACCAAAGCCCAACAGGCACTTTAACGATTCTTAACATGCCGAATAATCATATGGCATGGACGCTGCCAATTTTTTGCATCATGAAAATCCACCAACCTGGGCAGGGGTCAAACTGTCAAACTTGAGTGTACAAAACCAGCGCCACCAGCTATAACTGCAATGCAAGAATGATGATTGTAACAGCTCAGTGCTCGCGATCTCAAAGCACCCTACCAATATAGTGTCTTGGTTCGGACAAAAAATTCTCTGAAATAATTAAGACCTTTTTCATGAACTGAGTTCAAAGTTCGCCCAGATCCTGTGTGGACTTTAAAAGAGGAAGGTAGTATAGATTTCACATGAAGAATTTGATAGAATTTCTTAGACTTGTGGTCCGTTACCAATACCTGTCATCTGATTTCTAAAGCGATGTCAGTTTAAACTAACTGATCTTCAAAGCAATTTCTCATTCATTTGATTTTTAAATTAAAAAATAGTAGTTTAAATAGTAGTTCATTATGTATCTAAAATAAATTCTAATATACATTGATAAACGATTTTTGCACGTCTCTTATCAATCTTTCACATCTGACTTTGACAGAACCTTCGTGATCACTTGAATAATGAAACAGTGAACGAAATGATGTGTGCAAATGACAAAGAACATGACAAACAGACTTCTAGCTTTTGAAAGAGAAACATTCTGTATCTCAATCCCAGATTCACAAGAAAAATCCCAACTTTCTCTTCTTACATCAGTTACATTTCAACCAGGGTACTACTCCATGTAGAACCCAACTCCGAAAGAGGGGTAGGGGGGCTTTGAATCCGAGTTATGTACTCACAAATCCAACTTTTTTTTTCTTTCTTGCTCCCTTTCCTTCTTTCGTCTCTCCAGAATTTACAAAAGGATCGTGAATTTCAGAAAATCCAGCGTTCATGCTTCAAGAAACGCTTTACATTTTGCTCAAATGGTCCAGTTGGTTCGTTTTTTAACTTTTCTTTTGCGTCAGTGCTCTTGTATTTCTTCTTTCGTGAAAACTCAGGTATTTGTTGGGCTGCTGTCCTCTGCGAGCGATGTTGGCGTAAGTTTGGAAAGAGCTGACATGGAATTTTTGTTTCGCACCACAAACAGAGATATTTAGCAAGCTTACATAGAGAAAGTGAACAGTCTGTGTGCTTTTTCTTTTAAAAAAATGTAATCATTCGTAGTTTTGCAAACGAGACTTTGTTTTTGGATGTGATCTAATACAAAAGCTATATTTTTCCATGTAATGGCATATTTTAATCTTGTTATGCCTTTTATTTTACCCTATTTTGAAATTCCTACTATTAGCTCACACTCTCTCTATATTTATTTATTTATCTTGGTGGAATTTTCAATCGTTAATAAAATACATTTTACAGCACTCCATTGAGCTGACATTTTATATACATGATTATTTTGGAAGACAATACAGTATAATTTATAATTATAATTAATAAAAATTAATTGATTAAAATTAATCATTTAAAGAATTACAAACACAGCCACGTTGGCATCATTTTAGGCGACTTGTGTCAAAACTTGAAAAGGTTTTTTCTCACGTTTTAAAGCATTCAGTTGAACTGAAATTTCATATACACGATTGTTTTACATGACAATACGATACTTTAACGATAATTTTAAAAAAATTAATGACCACCTAATGTTGTGATTCTGTCATATGTATATACATACATATTTATATTAATTGTAACTATTTAATAAAAAGTAGCTAAAATAAAATTTTTCCTTGTTGATCTAAGTAGTAATTGTGACTTAATTTTTTTTTATATTGCTTGTTTTTGGATGTGATCTAATACAAAAGCGATATTTTTCCATGTAATGGCATATTTTAATCTTGTTATGCTTTATATTTTATCCTATTCTTAGCTTCCTTTTAAGGGATCTCAGGGCTGTTAACCTTATCTCGAGGGCTGAAAATATAAACAATTTTCAAATAGATATAATTCTTTGAAATTAAAATTACATAATTCGAATTTTTCACACATTATTTATAAAAAACGAGGCTTCAAAAAGAGTAAAAAGTTTAAAATATAATCATAATTTAAAAAATTATAAACATATGAAAATAAGAAACATTTTTGTAAGAAATAATAATTAAGATTTACGTTGAGCAAGATATTTTCTAAAATAGTAGCTCTAATTATATATAATAGCAATAAGTTGATGTATAAAGTTAAACACATTTTTGTTACACTGTAACTATTTTTATATAAGCAGATTAATAAGTTATATTTTTTTAAAAAAATAAAAATATTGTATTTTTGTAACTTTTTAAAAAAATTTCAATATTTTACAAATATTTTGATGCACAAAAGATTTATTCTAAAATTAGGTAGGGTTTAAAAAGTATGATACATTTTATAACTGTATACAGTTTGAAACATCAAAGGCTATTGTTTTAGAAAATAGCATGCGCAACGTAAGAATTACTTGATTACAGAAATGTTTCTTATATTCATACGCTTATAATTATTAAAATTATTATATTTTAAACATTTTGTACTTTTTGAAACCTCATTCTTTTATAAATAATGTGTAAAAGATTCGACTTATTTAATTTAAATTTCAAAGAATTATATACATTTGAAGATTGTTAATATTTTCACCTCTCTAGACAAAATTAACTAACCCCTTAAATATTTATCATCTGTAGCTTTATAAGTATAAGACACTAATTCCAGCATTCTTAAACATTTGCAAATAGAACAAAATTATGTATTAAAAACATAAAATGAAGTTATTTTTTTGGAAAATATATATATGTATTTATATTATAAAACTTTATTTGAATTGTCTTAATATCTATGAATTCATCAAGTTTTCAATATGTTGAAATATTTTTTTAAGTGACGAGTTATACATGAAAAAAAGTTGGTGTCAAAGTAAAAAAATGTGTCGAGAGAAAGTAAAATCATATGAAAATCTGGAAATTGTGAAAATAAAATGATTTAACGAAAAATAAATGAATGAAAAAAATATTTTCTGTTGGTTGATAATGTTATTGAATTTTTATATTTCAAATATTACTTGGAATGCTTTTTGAAAATTAATAATTTAGATTTAGGAGTTTGAAGTGGAATGTTTGCTGTGATTTATTTTTCTTTTGGTTCATGAATAACAATATAATTTGATATTTTTAGAAGAAAAGCGGAAAAGGGAAGGGATCTATATAATCCATTCTGAAAATTTCATAAAAAAAAAAAGAAACAAGGCTATATTCA